CAGAACCCGCTCCCTCCCAGCTGAGGCGGCTGGGGCTCTGCATGCTGAGCACCCGTGTTCTCCCCTCTGGGGAAAGACCTTGCTCCGTTCCACCCTTGGGGGCTTAGCAGCCCTTGATGATGCCCCGTGTCCTGACACCAGTCTTCCCCTTGACCTTTGAGGTGCTCCACACAGGAACACCGGGTCCCAGGGACGTGCGCTGCCCCTGACTCGTGTTGGAAAGTTCCCTTTAAAAACCAGAAACCCTCCCCTAGCCCACATCTGCCCACTCTCTCACCTCACGTCAGGGGCCAGCTTCACTCGCAGCTCTTGGAGGGAAGCGCCCCCTTAGCTATGCTTAAAATGTGTGAGAAGCAACGTCGACACCCCCAGATCATCACAGGGACTCTCAGTGCCTGACAGGTCAGCTCCAACCCCCGACGTGAGCTGTCTCTCGAAGGGTCTCCAGAGGGAGACCTTCTCCCAGACGAAGCTACTGATGGGCCATCACAAATGTTTATCGTCAGACGCTCAGGAAATCCAATCTATACCCACTTTTGCGGGAGAGGGTTTATTAGTTGATTTTGGAAAATGAAGGGCCCACACCTCAGACCACAAACTGGGCAGGAGAGCCCAGCAATGGCTTCGCAAGTGTCACACAGGCCCAAGGTCGCCAGTCCCTGCCCGGTCCCTCGCCGGCTGAGTTCTGCCGACACTCTTTCCCTGGTAGGCCTATGTCCTTAATCTGGAGTTTCTACCTGGGGTAGAGTCCCTGCACAGCACAGCACAGCATTGCATAGCATGCCAGTCCCCACATCAGCCACCAGCTTGTGCTCTGGCCTCTTGGTCACTTCTCGGCCTTTTGTTCCCTTATCTGCTGAAGATGTACCATTACCTCTCACCATGGTCCTTCCTGTCTTTGGAAGGGACCCCAGGGCGTGACGTTTGGCTAACTCTGCTGCTGCGCTGCGTGTATGAGTGAGAGAGGCTGATACCTTGTCCCTACAAACCACATGCATGTGGAGCGTGCCAGCTCCCAGGGAAATGGCAGCCCTGAGTGTGGGCGGAGCTGGGTACAGGCAGGGCTTGGGGCATGTCCTCTTGGAAAGCTGGGACCTAAGACACAGCCCACACAGATCCTGTTTCAGTCACATGCAGAGAATAGGTTTTCCACACAGAAATGGAGGATAATTACCTCAGATCCCCCAATGAGGGACAAGCACCCAATCCCAGTCACCTTGGCCTAGCCAGGCTGACCTTAAAGGAATGGTCAGACCCACTCCAGAGCCACAGCCCCAGGCCCAGTGGGCAGGGCGCCGTTCCCTGGAGTAACGGGGGTCTTCTAGACCCACCGCCCTCATCTGACAATCATGGTGGCGTGCCGGAGGGGGCTGCCAGTGGCTTCATTCTGAAGGACGCAACCCCCCCCAGGGACCGCACATCCTCTGCCAGGGCACAGCCGCCTCAAAGGCACCATGTACAAAGCCGCCTGCAGGGAAGCAGGAGGGCAGTGCAGGTGTCATGGTGCAGGGCAGGGGGGCAGGGGCTCAGCGTAGGGGCCCTGGCAGTTCCCCACCCCACCCCACCCCCCACCCCCAGCACTGCTCTGGCCCCAAGGGAGTTTCTTTTCCATGCCGAGCGCAGGTGCTGGGTTTGGGGTGAGGATGCCAAGAACAGACCCCAGAAGAGCCGAGCTTCAAACAAGCCTTTGAAGATCAGAGGCG